CACAGGCAAGAAAAAGCTAAAAGAGTTCATCACCAAACCAGTATTACATGAAATGTTAAAGGGTCTTCTTAAAGAAGAAGAAAAAAATTTTAAAAATGTGTACAATAAAATGGCAATAAATACATACTTATCAAAAATTGAATCTAAAAATTAAAATAAATGAGCAAGCAGAACAGAAACAGACTCATAGATACAGAGAACATTTTGACAGTTGCCAGATGGGAAGGTGGATTGGGAGTATGAGGGAAAAAGGAGAAGTGATTTAGAAGTACAAATTAGTAGTTATAGTATAGTCAAGGGGGTGTAAAATACAGCATTGGGAATATAGTCCATAATATTCTAATAACTATGTATGGTGTCAGATGGGTATGAGACTTTTGAGGGGATAATCCCTTAGTAAGTTTTATAATGTCACTATAGTATACACCTGAAACTAATGCAATATTGTATGTCAACTGTAATTGAAAAATAAAAAATGATTAAAAAAAAAAAAGAGTATTATTAATTTTATAAGAAGCTGTCAAAGTGTTATCCTAAAATGCTGTACCAAATCCTCTGAAGCATTTGGTGGTGTCAGTGTTTTGGGTTCTGACTATTCTAATATGTGAGCAGTAACTTCTCAGTGTTGTTTTAATTTGTTATTTCCAGATTGATGTATGACAATTTTCCATCTGTTTATCTTCTTTGGTGAGGTATCTGTTCAGACCTTTTGCTCACTTTTTAATTGGGTTATATTTGTTTTTTTACTGTTGATTTTTAGAGTTCTTTGTATTGTTTGGATATCAGTCCTTTGTCACATATAATTTGCAAATATATCTTCCCAATCTATGGCTTTTCTTTTCATTCTTTTTTTTTTTTTTTATCCTCACCCGAGGACATTTTTCTATTTTTTGTACAGATAGAGTGGGAGGGAGAAAGAGGAAGAGAGAGAGAGAGAGAGAAACATCGATGTGAAAGGGACACATCGAGTGGCTGCCACCCGCACGACCAACCAGGGCCGGGGACAAACTGCAACTGAGGTACATGCCCTTAGCGGGAACCGAACCAGGTCTCTCCGGACCACAGGCCAACGCTCTAACCGCTAAACCAAACTGGCCAGGGCTCTTTTCATTCTCTTAAAAGTGTCTTTCACAGAGCAATTTTTAATTATAAGGTAGTCTAACTTATACATTTTTTTCTTTCATGGAATGTGTACTTGATGTTATATATAAAAACCCATCATTATAAAATAATAAATAAAGACATTATTATAAAATAAAAAGAGGATCTAAAAGGATTAAGTATATATGCTAAAGGGTTATCGTTCTGTGTAGTGGGATTTCAGAAATTCTTTATGTTCTTTTGTGTATCTGTATACTCTGATTTTTCTTAATGATCATGTACTATTTTTGTAAAAAGAAAAGATCAATATAACAGTCCTCTTCTTAGTTTACCAAAATTATTAATACTAGGGAAAAAAGATAAATATTAACTTTTTACCAAATATATGATTTTCCAGAAATACCTTAATCCTATATTTAAAAATATATATATGTTTTATTGATTTTAGAGGGAGGGAGAGATAGAAACATCAATTAGAGAGAAACATCAATTGACTGCCTCCTGCATGCTCCTTATTGGGGATCAAGCCTGCAACCCAAGCATATGCCCTGACCAGAAATCGAACTGGTGACCTCTTGGTGGATGGGACGACACTCCGTCCACTGAGCTACACCACTGGGGCAATCCTGTGTTTTTTACTGTTTTCTGTAATACCCCAGTTCCTCAAACTTAAATGCCCTTTCTTATTCCCCACCCCCACTATTCAACTTTATTTAGCCAGGCATCTTCTCTATTCTTTAAAAATCCAAATCACTTTCCCGAAGAAGCTTTTCTTGACTTCTTATCTGCCTTTCATCAAGGGTTTATGGTAAACTAGTCACAAATTTGACTGTCTCACAAGTCAAATTTATCCAACACTTGTTTTTGAACAACCTGAAAACTAAAAAAAGTTTTTACATTTGTAAATGGTAGGGGGGAAAAAAATCAAGGAATAAAATTAACAACACATGAAAAGTACATAAAATTAAAATGTTAGTGTCTATAAATATTAGGACACAGACACATTAATTTATGAATTGCGTATGTCTGCTTTTGCCGGCAGTGGCAGAGTTGAATAGTGCTGACAGAGACCAAATGGCCCAGAATGTCTAAATTATTTATTCTCTAACTCTTTGCAGAAAAAATTTGCTGACACGAGTTTTAGATGATGAGGCTTCCTCAGTGCCCACACAGGATGCTATACCTGCCTCTGATTCAGTACTTACCACATACCCTGGAAGGGATGATTTGCTTAAGATTCCCAGTACTTTTAGTGGAGGATACTTTCTAACGCAACTTGGTTGATCTCACCACTGAGTAGAGTGCTTCATACACAGGAGGCACTTGACAAATGCACGATGTAGGAAGTAATGGTGTAAGCTCTCTCCACTAGAACGTAAGTTACATGAGCCCAGGTGTTTTATCTCCTTTGTTGGCTGTATATTTTCAGTATCGAAAAAAGTATCTGGAATATGGTAGGCACACATCAAATATTTGTGAAAGTTGTTAAGTGCATCAGTGTTGTACTATATTTCTGAGTTTTATAATTCTTAAGTCAATTCTTAGTCTTTTATATCATGGTATTTGATGATTGATGGAAATAAAGCTTTACTTCCTAAACCTCAGAAAAACAAAGAAAAAGACAATGTTAATTTTGTCAAAAAAGAAAGTAGTTAAGAGGTCCTCTTAAGGATATATCGGTTTACTCCAGTCTTCAGTGCATCAGTACAGCACGGCAGCCTGTTGTTGCCTCCTCCTTTCACTCACTCATGGCAACTACAACTGGGCAGGTATTAAATCAAGATCCTACTGACACTGAGTTATTAATTACCTATGGCAGCAGGGCTCTCGGAGCCAGCGAGACTCAGCATCCTGGCCCCATTTCAAACCGGGATGAGGTGTTCTTTAAGAGATTAATGTGCAGATATAAATCATAGCCTAAACACTTCATCTGGTCTTGGACAGCCTCTTTCCCAATGAGTTGAAAGCTCTTTATAGAGGATGAACGAATTAGTTTTTATACTAGCCCTATGAGTTCACAGGAGGGATGAACTAAGAATCCATCCTGTGCTGAATAACACCTTGCATGTTTACAGGATTGTCTTCCGAAATAACATTCTAGAAATGTTTTCCTGAATGACCAATGTACTCAGTATCTGATCATACCATACTTGTCTTGTTATGGGCTTTATAATATTTCATTTTGTAAACTGAGCGTGACAGTCCATATCTTTATTTCATTTTGTAATGCACCTAGTAAGTGCAGGCTGCTCTTTCCTGAGCCTAAAAAGTTCCAACAAGGCAATCTTTTTTGTGTCTCCTAATCACTCCTGGTCTGAGGCCCGGCCAGCCTCCTCAGCCTGGTAGCTCCTCTTTCCCCCTCAATCGGATGTGGGGGTGGAGATGTGGGGGGTCGCACACCCCCGTTCTGAGATGCATGCATGGTTTTATGGATAACCCAGTTTATGAGCAATCATTTGCTCCTCTGCCTCATCATGATGGAATTGGAAGCCATTCCCATGTAGAACAGCCTTGCACGCACATACTCAAAAGGGTCAGAAGAAAAAGGAGGGTCTGCCTTGGCTTTCTGTTCTAAATTCTCACACACATGCCACACACACACACATACACGCACCTTTTAAAAGGCTACATTTTAGCTTTTATTTCTTTGAACAGCAGTAATGGGCATGATTGTGAACACCAATGAAAAGTGGTAAAAATAGTGAAGTCGCTATCAAGGGAAACTGAAACCCCCACCATTGTTCTAAGCATGGGGGCCCTTTGGGAGGCTTGAACAGAGAGGCACAGAGGAGCACCGGCTATACAGTCAGAGACAGCCAGTTTCACATGCCACCTCACCCTCTCTGAGCCTGGGTTTCCTCATCTGTAAAATGGGATAGCACCTTTTAATGTGAAAAGTTCACTGGACAGCTGAGTTCAGAAAATGTTAGTCACTCCTCACGCCAAGTTAGGACACCGATCTACCTCCTTAAGAAAAATTATCACTTGTTCTTATTGAGTAAGAGAATGGCAGAACAAGAGAAATAGACTAAAAAACACAGATCCAAGAACTATTGGAGAGTTTTCTAGTGAAAATTGAAGGTAATTTTGATTGAAGGTAACCAAAGCTCTGTATACAAAGCAAACAATTATTAAATGGGTGGCCCAGAGAGCTTACCAAGACCGCCGTTCTACTCTGTAGGACATAAAGGAAACATCGAAAATCATAGTTATTACAGGAGACTTTAGAAGAGATTTATAGCTTTCATAAATTGGAGTGGAGCCCTAGAGTGGAGCAAAGGTAATCTTTGAGAAGGTTGTCCCTTATTTGAATTCAGATCTCTCTTGAGTGAGAAGGGATGGGGTAGTAATACTCCATGATTACAGATACATGTGTCCTTGTCCCTGGAGGTATATTGTGGATGTGACACCACCACTATGTGTGTAGGGCACAAAAAGCTGGGACCCACTGGACTAGGGCTTGTCTAAGGAGAGCTCTAAAAGAGAGTCTTTAGCATCAGCCACCAGATAGCTTCAAATTCAGGGGGCCTATGTTCCGGGCATTCCTCTAGCATCTATTTTCTGTTTACTAAGAAACTTTCTAACTTTCCATTTTCCTTCTTCCAGAAATAGTTGATTTTAATTATAAATGATTTAATTGACCTGTCAGCCTTATGGGAATGGAGGAATGTCAGCAGACATCTTGGGTCTAATATCAATGCCTCCAGGATGCTAATGTCCACTTTGGGGTCTTTTCCTGAGTTTTTATCTCACTACCAAGAAGACTTTAAAGAAATTTCTGATTCCAGACCTTCTTTAGAAAGAGCTCTGATCAACTTTTCTTGACGGGGAAAAAAAAAAAAAGAAGAAGCAAATGCTAAGGACCCAAACCCTTTTTGGGTGAGAATGTAATATTTTTAATATTTAACAATGTTACATACATACAAAAATGTATCAACTCAAAAAAATATTAGTTTGTTTTTTAAAAAAAAAACTTCAATCCAAATTTATTGGGATTACAAAAATAGCACATTTCATTATCTCAACAGCTCAGTTACCAACACATCCAAAGATACGAAGCATCTTTAAATAAACTGCTTCCCGCCAATACAAATCTCATGACATTAAAAAAGATTATTTTCATATTTACAGAAGAAACATGCTAATTGTTTCTTAAATACTCTTTGGAATTCATAGGTGAGGCTATTTTTAAAGTCAGAGAACATTTCAAGTTGAAGAAGTTATTTTAGAAACATCTCACAATTCATTTTATTTAATACCACTGAGTAATTCTGCATCCTCTTCTAAAGACTGTGTTTTTATCGCAGAGCATCCGGAACGTCCACCTACAAAAACAGGGGATTTTCTTTCAATAAAAACGACACAAATGATAAAGAGAAAAATATCTCTAAGGTATGTCTCCAGTATTCTCTGAGAGGAACTCAGGTATAGGTTGGTTGTTACTACCTGGTATTACAATTGTATATTACAAATTGGGTTTGAAACCACTTGCCACCCTGTGGTGGAATCTTTGACAAGTGATGAATCTTCTGGAATGCAGATTACACTCCCTGTGTTTTTTTTTTTTTTTAATGGAAATCATGATTTTTATATGTTGGAGTGTCTTTAAGTGGACCTGACGCTTAAAGGACCTAAGGATGGTGCCCAGGCACAATTCTCAAACTGAAATCTGCTCACTAGTGACCTGCTCCTGATGTTACAAACTTGTATTCTTGTTCTTGCATATTAAAATAGTAGTATTTTGAGAGATGCTTAGGTACATTATACAATCTGAGCCCAGGGTCTGCTGTTGGGGTACTTACCCGCCTTAGCTGTCTTATGCTGCTCCCCCGAATCGCTTCCATGAGGTTGTCATGAGCTGACCTCTGTGGGGTAGAAGGTCGGGAACTCTCTTCGGTTTTCTTCTCTTGCACTGACCTCAGGGAATTTTTTATTTCCTTTAGGATATTGTTTGGCTGTTTCTTAACCTTTTTCCCTTTTTTCTTTTTCTGTCCATTTTGTAATGCCCGCTGGGCATTCTCTTGTTGTTTGATGACCTCGGCGATGTTTCTGGTGACGAGCTTTTTGTCTGGAAGCGGAGGAGGCGGAGGCGGAGGAGGGGGCGGCAGCCTCTGTGGGGGGGGCGGCGGCGGCGGAGGGGGCGCCACGGGAGACGGAGGACGGCTCCTCACAGTTTGGACTTTCCTGGGGACTTTGGGGGATGACCAGGGAGACTGCCTGGGAGATGCATAAGGTGAAGAGCCAGGCGTTCCTCTTTGCCAGACTGCGGTCCTAAGATTGGCTCCTCCATCGCACCCTTCCTGCTGTTTTTGCTCCTGCATCCGCTTCTGCCTCTGCTTATCCATGTTGCGCGTCAAGAGGCTGGTCATGCTCATTCTGGGGCCCGGGAGCTCGAAATGGTAGCCCAGCCTCAGCAGCGTGGTGTTCTCCTTCAGCAGCTTGACGATCTCCATCTCCACCTGGCTGCCCATGATGTGCCTCTGGTTGTGGAAGCGCAGCTCGGTGAGCACCGTGTTGCGCTGCAGCGCCCTCATGATGGCCAGGATGCCCTTGCCCGTGATGAAGTTGGACTCGATGTTGACGCTGGTGATGTGCTGGTTGACCCGGAGCATCTCGGCGATGGCCAGGGCCGCGCTGTCGTCGGCGTGCGTGTTGGCCAGGCTGAAGGTCTTCACCACCGTGTTGTCCTTGAGGGCCTCGGCGAAGCGGGTGAGCGTGGGCGACGTGATGTTCTCGATGTTGTTCAGGTTGACCTCTGTGGTGTCGGGGTCGTTGTTTTTAATCTTCACCAAGGCATCGTCAATCACCGTAGGATTTCCGCAAGGGTGAATGGCAGCTGGCGACTCCGTGTTCCTTCCACTGTGGCCATTGGTCAAATTTATGTTTTCTATTTGACTTTTAAATGTCTTTGGCCTAGAGTTATCAGAATTGGCACTATCATAATTTACAGGTCCAGCAATACCTTTCTGGTCTTCAACTGCTTTTTCTTCTTCATGGCTGCCCTCCTCCTCCTCCTCCTCCTCCTCCTCCTCCTCCTCCTCCTCCTCCTCCTCTCCTTCCTCCTCTTCGGTGTACACTTCCTCAGAAACCTCACTGTTACTTTCAGTAAAAATAAGCTCTTCCTCACTCTCCTCTTTGTCTTCTTCTGCAACCTAAAGAGCACGCATGGTATCATCATTAAGTTTGTCATTCCTAAGCACAATTTTTAATTTACAAAAATAACATGGTTTGGCAATACAGTAAACCCTTAATTTTATGGACCTCGATTTCAGGGGCTTGGATTTAACCGACAAAATTCCCGGTCCACTTCTGGTCTATATGTCATATGTGAAAATTAACACCATGTTAATCTTAAAATGCTTTTAACCAAGATTTGCTCATAATTAAATTAATGGGTTGTTTTTGTTATTAATTCACCATTGTTTTTAACAAATTTTAGCGCATAGGCCATATGTTGGGAAAAACACTACAGTAATTTCACCAACATAAATACATATTACACAGCTACAACTAGAGTCTACATACTTAAATCCTAGTCACCACTTGTAAAAAATGTTCCTCAAATGATTAGCACATGATCACATCTCATCCTTCAGGGTAGTTGGTTCTGTTGTCTCATGGCGTGACTTTCTGAAGCAGTTTCTAGGCCTGATGGCTGATGTTTCCAGCAGGCTGATGTGCCACATCCCACTGATAAGCCACACCCCAGCTGTGTGCATTTGTTTACTCTCAGTAACTAGTGAATGTACACATTTACTAGACCTATTCAGTATAAATGAAAAATTACAGCCAGGCTGGTGTGGATCAGTGGATTGAACTTTGTTCCATGCACCAAGAGGTCACAGTCCAGTCAGGACATATGCTGGGGTTTCAGGCTTGATCCCCAGGAGGAAGCATGCAGGAGGCAGCTGATGAATGTTTCTCTCTCATTGATATTTCTCTCTCCCTCACCCTTGTTCTCTCTAAAAAATTAATAAAAATGTATTTTTAAAAAATAATTTAAAATAAAGAATAAAAATTACAGTAATATATATAGAAAGCTTTTTGTGAAATTAAACTTTTCATACATACTTAATTCTAATTACACAAATGTGTCTACATAAGTAAAAACAGGTAAGCCAACTAATTTGTCAATTTCTTAACATACGAATTCAGAAAACCTACTTAATTATATAATGGACTTCAGCTTTAACAGACACTTCCTCTCCCGAATTAGTCCATTATAATGAGGTTTTAATATATATATCACATCATTATGTTGTACACATAAAACTAATATATGTTATATGTTAATTATATCTCAATAAATAAAAAAAAAGTAATACATGGCAAGGTAATACAAAAATATATAAGGAGTAAAGTTAATTTCCTGGGTTACCAAGGTCAACATTTTATTGCATAACTTTCAACAGCTTTTTCTAACAAACATTTCTTTTGTTTTCCACCAAATAAATATCCAGAATTCAATTTATTGAATTAAAATTTACTATCATTTTGCCACTTTGAACAAATAAGTTGGAACCTCAGCTTTGGAAAACCTTTTTTCTTTCATCCTAACCCTAGGATATTTTTCAATTTATCTTCAGATAGAGTGGGAGGGAAAGAGAGTGAGAGAAACATTGATGTGAGAGAGACACATCGATTGGTTGCCTCTTGCACAACTCCGACCAGGGCCGGGGACCAAACTGCAACTGAGGTACATACCCTTGACTGGAATCGAACCTGCAACTCTTTGGTCCTCGGGCTGACACTCTAACTGTTGAGCCAAACCGGCCAGGGCTGGAAAACTTTTTTTTTTTTTTTTAATTTTTTTTTCTTTATTTTTAGAGAAAGAGGAAGGGAGAGAGAGGTAGAAACATCAATGAAAGAGAAGATAGATTGGCCGCCTCCTGCATGCCCCCCACTGGAGATTGGGCCCACAGCCTGGGCATGTGCCGTGACCGGGAATCGAATTGGCGACCTCTTGATGCTCAACCACTGAGCCACCTGGTGGGGCAGGACTGGAAAACCTTTGAAAAATTTTTTATTTTCTTGACTATCCACTCTGAAATACTTGATGTGTATCCTACTTACAATTTAGAAAATTCAACCCTCTCTTCTGGAATCACCCCTCACCCCTTTGTCCTTGCTTATTTCTGAAACAAACATATGGCAACAAAAATACACAAAATATTAATGGGTTTCTTTTCTTAATGTTCAAAACTTTTCCCAAAATTTGTCTCCTATAGCAGATGTGACAGGAGCCAGGTGCTATCTGCCCTGGCCTGTCTCAGTCTAGACAGAAGCAGGAGTGTCATTTGCTTCTTTAACATTTATCTTTCCCTGGGGTAGAGCCTGGCACAAGTTCTCAGAAACCCCACAACACCTGTGAGCTGTTGCTGTGTCCCTGTCCCTGCTCTGGAGAAAGAAACCCAGCGAGCCGCAGCAGGTCAAAGCTTGACTCTGTGCAGAAAAACATTTAGGTCATCCTTTTCAGCAAATCAACTTGAAATTTCACACTAGTGCAGGGTTAAATGACACAGACTACAGAAACCAGACTCTAATTGTAATGAGGAACAGCAGAGAACAGTAGAAAATCTTCCAGCAAGCTGTTTTCTTAGCCTGATGTTCTTAAATTATTTACCATGTATCAATTATGAAAGACTTTCAGGCAAACACAATTTCATTCTACCTTTGTTTTTCCTGTTTACAAGACTCTGTACTAAGAAGTCCAACTGACCCCTCTCTTTTTTTTGCTACCTGTTTTGATAAAAAAAGAAAGGAAGGAAGGAAGGAAGGAAGCAAGGAAGGAGGGAAGGAAGGAAGGAAGGAAGGAAGGAAGGAAGGAAGGAAGGAAGGAAGGAAGGAAGGAAAAGAAAAATTGCTGACAGAGTTCAGTTTTCCCATGTCCCTCCCCTGTCCCCAAAGTCTTGAGGGCTCCTACTGCCTGAGGCATGTGGCATGAGCTTTGGATAACACTGTGCTTGTCTCCAAGTTTGTTTGCCCAGTTGCTATCACAAAATAGCCTCCTGTTTTCACTTGTTTGGAGTGGCAGGCACCAAGTGATGGCCTGGGGAAAGGGTCAGCCACTCCTGGGATGGCTTGTATAGTCTTAATTTACTCACTTCTTCAAGATCAGGAGGGAAAGGGACACTGTGTGTGTGTGTGTGTGTGTGTGTGTGTGTGTGTGTGTGTGTGTTCAGCTGTTTCCATATTTGCAGGAAAAAGGTCTGTCTCAAAATTCAAGGTATAGTGTCTCTAACGTCATCCTTAATTTTATCCACTTTGGTTTTTAAAGAACTTTCGGCTTTATCTGCAAGAGATGTCTCCCCCTCAAAATGTACTTTCTTCCAGAAAGCCATCTTTGACACCCCCTGAAATCATCTTGCAGTGCATTCCCATAATGCTGTTCTTTGCTGCTGTTTTGTTCACCTTGTGCAATGCTCAGCATGCAGCAGGGGCTCGGGAAATACTTGCTCACTGAATGGGTGTAAAATGACATTGGCTAACGGAGAAAAGTACAGACGGCTGGGTGGGGATGAGGTGACCAACTGTCCCAGTTTGCCTGGGGTTGAAAACCATCCTAAAAAGCAGGATTTTTGGTTCTAAAAATCTGTATAGTCCCGGACAATCTGAGGTAGTTGGTCACCCCAGTGGGGAGGACATACAGGAGAAGAAAGTTGTCTAGAGTGGCAGGGGGAGGATAGGAGGATGCAAAAAACAATCTGCCTGCTTTCTGAATTATTCCAGATCTCCTGTCTGCCACTGCCCTGGGGTTAATCCTGATCCTTGAGAACGGGGGTGAGGAGCTGGGGATGCGGCGAGGCAGTGATGTGTACTGTTTCTCCGATCACCGCCCTGGCATCATTACATGAATGAAGAGGCAAGAGGCTTGATGAGGTTTTTGGTTCTGGGTCTGGGTCTACCTGTAAAGAGATGGTTGACTTTAGACAAGTCTCCTCTGCATGGGGTGGGGGTGGGGTGGCTCATAGAAATTCCAGTATACTCGAGTGGTTCTTAAACTGTAGTGTGTCACATGCAGGGCTTGTGAAACCGCAGAATGTCAGGCCCTATCCCAGAGTCCCTCATTCAGCAGGTCTGAGGGGATATAGAATTAGCAGTTCTGAAAAGTGTCCAGACCAGGCTGATGGCCGGGCACCCACATTTTGAGAATTGTGGTCTTTGTGCCCATAGAGATTGGTTTGACTTTCAGCTTGCTTTTAAATTGTTGATCTCAAATGCGTTTCTTAACCTCTCTCATTCTGAGTTCTCATGTGCACAAGGTAAGAATTTAATTAAATAATATGAGTGTACTCAAGCTAGAGGAGTTAGAGCCTTGGTCTCTAAGGCCCTCTGGAGCTATTTAGTGTAGCATAACTTTGTGTGAACCCAGGGGGCCAGAGGCTGTCATTCAACAGAAGTTCAACATGATTTTCGTAAGCTTTTATAGAACCAGTAGCTTGATAACAAAGACCCCCATCTCCTTCTCATGGTCTGTACTGTGCTGCTCCTCACTTACACTGCTGTACCCCTCCCCCACACCCACCCACCCATCAGCTGCTTTGAGCTTTTTCCTGTAGTGGGAATGGATTTACCCTCCATCAGCAAGCTTCTGCTCCGCACTCCTTGTGACTACAGTGACAGCTGGTCAGAGAGGAGAGCGTAGTGGGAAAAGAATTAGCAAGAAAGGAATCTAAGTTCATCAACACGGCAGCCTCTCTAATTGACTTGATAAGCCATTGGCAGGGAGCAGCAAAATCTTTGGCAGGATCAGGTGTGTTCCATCAACAGCTGACAACAGGCTTTGCCCTTTGTTCCCCAGCAATCTCAAGACATTATGACATTAAAATGCCTTTGTTGGGTTATTGCTACAATGGCTGTCTGTCCTGGATCTTCTGAGTCCATTTAAATCTTTTTATCAAGAAAATTCTTTAATAATTGTAATTAAAATGTTTTCTGTTATATATTTGGACACACATTCTCACATCAGAAAAAAAAAAAAAAGACCTCTGAAAATCATAGTTGTGGAGAACAGAACTTAAATCCTGGCCTGTCGTGTGTGTCCTTCCTTATCAACTCCCGCTCCAGCCCTTCCATGCAGGTGGCCACCGTGGCCTTGGCAGACTCTGGCCTGATCCCAGTGACCCTTCCTTCAATGATTGACATGGACAAAGCTCACACATATCTTGCTACTAATGTGGCCCACACATCCTATCATCAAGATCATCTAGCAGTGCCGAGATTAGTACTGTGGAAGTCTTGCCTCTGGCTTCAGGCCATTTTGGTTTTAGATTATTCCAGGTGAGCACCGAGGTTTTAAATGATTGCTTCTGACCTGTGCTCTTCCAGAAATTCAGAATTTGGTTATATCAACATTCTTATTGCTGTTACTATTTTTTCAGACCATAGTCTTTTGAACTCCTTTCAATAATTCATTTGGCAAATTTAAAGGAGCTGTTTAGTGGTCAGAGAACAAGAACTCAGTAGATCTTCCCTCTAACATAAGCACATTTCCTGGCCTCAGACTCACTATTGTAAAGTAGGAAAAGATCTTTGAGGTCATCTACACAGGCACGCTTAACCTGGGCCCCTCAGGAGGGTTTGGGATGCATGTCGCATTCGGAAATTCTATGTAAAATTTGTGTATTTATGCATTTTCTGAAGGAGAAGGTCCATAACTTTCCCAAATCTCAAAGGGGTTTGGTTCCCACACACACAATAAAACCACTGGCTCCCATGGATAGATGGGAAAGAGAATCCTGCAGAAGTGACTGTCTGTTCAAGGTCCAACAATTTAGGAACAGAGAAGAGACTAGAAATAAGGTCCCTTGACTCTGAGTCCCATGTAATTTCCTACCACCCCACACTTCTTGGTGTCAGAAAAAAAGAAAGTATTTTTTTTAGTCACCATCATAGTCAAAGCAACAAGAGTATCCACTTTTGTCTTTATAGAAGAAAATTTACTTAACTGCAATATATATATAATCTCAGAAACAGATACTACACCACATCCCCAACTTAAAACTCAAATTAAGCTTATGTTTGGTAAAATATCTAAACCTATGCCTTTACTTATGAATAATTTTATTCTTGAAGATTCCATCTTATAGAACCCCAGCCAATCATTTTACATATTACAATCCTTTGGGTAGCCATAGAAGTTACATGACTATTTCAGCCCGAAACATTTTTCAGTAGCAGGTTACAAGGAAAGAAAAGTGATGAGGACTGCAAAGGTAGAGAAAACAGGTTCCCAGGTTTGGGGTGGGGGTAGGGAGCTGGGAACAGCCAAGGAAAAGTCCCGAAAGCCTACCTTTCCACACTCCCCCAGCCTCTCCTTCTCCAGGAGTTTTTGGGACTCCTTTTCCCAATAGGCCATCAGTGCCTCTCTGCTGAATGTCCCCGTGGGGGTTTTCTCCGTCAGACTCTTTTGTCTTAGCCCCACAGGAAGGTTGTGGTCAGGTTCAATGTCTTCCAACTCCCTCTCTAGCTCCTTCAGCTCTTCAGCTGACAGGGAAGCAAGGAGTTCGTCCTCATCGATGGATTCATATTTGCTAAGTCCTCTCCTGTAGCCAAAGGTAGACATGGTCCCTGTTTTGTCAGACCCACAGGGAGCTTGAAGAATCGGGCATTCAAGGCAGCTAGAAGCCAGAAGGAGGCAAGTGAGCAGGCTGGTCAGCAACTGGTGCTAGGAGTGGCTGCGATAGCCTTTTAAGAGCGGTGATACAGGGCTGTGACAATGCAGCGAGGAGTGAAGGCATAGGCTGTTTTAAGCATCAGACGTCAGCTAGACATTTGAACACAAAGAATGTCACATCAGTGGTGGATGGAGGTCTCAGAACCAGTGGGGATTATTCACATACTGGCCAGGGACAGATTTAGCTGAGCCTGATAGCTCATGAGGACAGGCAGAGAGTGTTTTAGATAGGGAGCAACACAGTTTTTACTCTGTATTCAAGTTACAGGAGAATACAATTTGTTTTGAAAATGACCACTGTAGCCATGAAAAGAATCATTATGATCTTAGAGGTGGAGAAATGATTACACATCATTACCCTATGAGTACTTATTCAGGTTCTCCTAAAAACATATTGTGGGTGGCATTGATGGAAACAGTTATAATTTAGAGCACTTTAGATTGTTTATTGTATTTTGTAGTTTATAACAGCACTTGAATACAATTTTTTCTAATCACAACGAGTCATGGAAGATGACTAACATTATCCTCCTTTACAGATTTTGGCAACCAAGGCTCTGAGATATTAAGAACAATTTGAAGTCAGACAGCCAGACTGTGGAAGTGGCCTTCTCCACTGCACAAAATGCCTTCCTTCTCCTCACCCACAAGTGTTAGTACACACTTAGATTTGCAAATAAAACTCCAAAAAGACAAGTAGTGATACATTGTATGATTTGTTAAGAATTGACGCTGTGCCAGCCTAGTGTTAAGCATTTTATATATTTCATCTCATCTAATTCTACAGTTCCATAAGGTAAATATTATTACCCATATTTTACTAATATTGAATTCAGAGAGGTCAAGTTGCTAGCCCAGGGGCACAGAGCTAAGACATGGTGGAGCTAGAATTTATACTCAGATTTGTGTCTGAACTGAAAATTGAATAAAAGCTAATTTGAGATTATATATATGTTCATATTCTTATGAATGTGATAAAATATATAGTTATAAGACTTCATATAAGTATCATTTTAGCACAGAGATCGATAAAAATCTGTTCACGTGTATAAACATTGAAATATACATTTATCAATACATGTATAATATATGATATTTTGTTTATATATTCAGCAGCTGGTGTATGTATAAATATATTTGGGTTGTTTGCAGGTTATTGTAAATAATGCTGCTGTGCACATTTACATGCAAGTCTGTGTGTCCATGTGTTTTTATTTCTCTTGGGCAGATAGGTATGTAATCGTGGAATTGCTAAGTTATACAACAAATTTACATTTAACTTTTTCAGAAACTGACAAACTATTTTCCCAAATGGCTGCACCAATTTACATTTCCATCAGCAATGAAGAGAGTTCCAGTTTCTCCATATCTTAATTTGCTATTGCCTCCCCCCCCCCCCAACTATGGCCATTTCAGTGGGTATGAAACGGTATCTCATTGTAGTTTTACTTTCCATTCCTCTAATAATTAATGATCTTGAGCATCATTTCATCTGTTTATTGGCTATCTTATCTCTTCTTTGGTAAAATAGTTATTCAGATCCTATGCTCATTTTTAAAATAGATTGTCTCTTATTGGGACATACATTTTTCATATATTCTGGACTTTATCAGATATTTGTAGACATTTTCTCCCATTCTGTGACTTGTCTATTGGTGTCTTTTGAAGAGTGAATGTTTTTAATTTTGATGAAGTCCAATTTATCAACTTTTTTCTCCTATTGCTTGAGCTTTTGGTGTTATAAAAAATATTTTTCTAGCTCAAGGTCAGAAAGAATTACTCCTATGTTTTCTTCTAAGAGTTTTATAGTTTTTCATTTTTATGTTTAGGTCTGTTGCCCATTTTGTCATAAAGTTTGCCTATGTTTAAGGTAAGAGTCTAAATTCGTCTTTCTACATGCAAATATTCAATTGTCTTAGCACCTTTTTTTTTGAAAAGACTATTAAATTGCTTTGGTACCTTTGTGGGAAATTGTCCGTAAATGTAAGGGTTTCTTTCAGTATGTCAAATCTGTTCTACGGTTATATCTCTATTTTTTTTTTTTTTTTATGCTGATACCACATGTTTTTAATTAGTATAGCTCTATAGTACATACTGAAATGAAAAGGGTAAGTCCTCCAACTTTCTTCTTTTACAAAAATGTTTTGGCTAAGGGGTTAATTTCCAATATATATAGAGTGATCATACAACTCAACAAAAGGAAGACAAAGAACCCAATTAAAAAATGGGCAGAGGAACTGAATAGACACATCTCCAAACAGGACATACAAATGGCCAAGAGACATATGAAGAAATGCTCAACATCACTAATCATCAGAGAGATGCAAATTAAAACAACAATGAGGTATCACCTCACACCTGTCAGAATGGCCACCATCAATAAATCATCAAACAAGTGTTGGCGAAGGTGTGGAGAAAAGGAGACTCTAGTGCACTTCTGGTGGGAATGCAGACTGATGCAGCCACTATGGAAAACAATGTGGTGTTACCTCAAAAAATTAAAAATTGAACTGCCATTTGACCCAGTGATCCCACTTCTAGGAATATACCCTAAGAAGCCTGAAACACCAATTATAAAGAATATATGTACCCCCATGTTTGTAGCAGCACTATTTACAATAGCTAAGATCTGGAAATAGCCCAATGTCCATCAGAGGACGAATGGATAAAAAAGCACTGGTACATATACACTATGGAGTACTATGCAGCGGTAAGAAAGAAAGATCTCTTATCCTTTGAGACTACATGAAGGGACCTGGAAAGTGTCATCCTAAGCAAAACAAGCCAAACACAGAAAGACAAGTATTATATGATCTCACTTATTTGTGGAATATAAGGAACATAACAGTCTGAGGAATGGGGTAGTCCTAGGGACATGGAAGTGGGGTACAGACTGACAATCCCCAGAAGAGGAGGTGGGGGGAGAGATAAACCACAGAACTTATATGCATGTATGCATGAATAATGGACATGGACAGCAAAGCTGGGGACAGGGCAGGGAGGTAGAGGGAGGGGGGAATCAGTGGGGGGGGAAAAGGAGAAACATCTGTAACAAAAATAAATTAATTAATTAAATAAAAATTTAAAAATAAAATAAAATGTTTTGGCTATTATGACCTTAACTTTATGATATACTGCCTCCAAAAATAACTATAACTCTTTTCAAGTATACTAATGGGAGAAATGATTATAAAATTAGAAATGATGAATTCATCAGATTGTTTTTGGCCTGCAACATATACTTTTGTGTAGCTTCAGTAGTAATACATCTTTTTTTAATGTGAATTGGTTTGGTTTTTGGAATCATTATAGCCAAATCTGGGGAATAAGATGAGTTATTCACCTGTATAATGATAGTTTAGGTAATGCAATGAATGCTGATTTAAACTATATAAAAACCTGTGTGTTTTGAAAAAAGAAAAGATGAGATGAAAATGATAGCAACAAGTTTATTTCTTCAACAACTGTGAATTGGCCCATATGATACGTATAAATTTAGGGGTATGTAATTATGAAAAAAAAAAATAAAATTGTATTTTACTCCTTTTTTTTCTCTTTTTCTTGTTTTTAAATTTTCTATAACACTTTAGTATTGTTTATATTTGATAATTTATTAAACATATACTACATGCTCGATTCTATTTTATTTATTTATTTTATTTTTTTCCTTTATTGATTTTTTTAGAGAGAGAAGAAGTGAGAGGGAGAGATAGAAACATCGATGAAGGAGAACATCAATTGGCTGCCTCCTGCATGCCCCCCACTGGGGATTGGGCCCACAACCTGGGCATGTGTCCTGACCGGGAATCAAACCAGCAACCTCTTGTTGCATGGGTCAACACTCAACCACTGAGCCACACCGGCCAGACTCAGATTCTATTTTAGATGCTAGAGTTAATGCAGTGAAGAAAACTAACAAAGTTCCTTCCTTCGTGGAGCTTACATTCTAGTTGGGGAGACAGACAATATATAAATGACCAAATACATACAAAACATATCAGGCAGAAGTTCCATGGAGAGAAACAGAGCAGGAGAAGAGGGAAGAAAGGAGATTGTGGGAATAATATTTCTTGTAGAGAAGATCTCTGTGATAATGTGACATTTAAGCATAGACCTAGAAAAGTAAGGGCGTGATATGTACAGATTATAATGCTACACATTTAGTATGATCATAAAATAATTACCCAGATATTCTTGGAATCACGGATTATCAGAATTCAAAGGGGCGTTCGAATACATAAATCCTCTATCATTTCTATTAGGTAGTTACCTAATGTTTGCTTGAACAATTTCAGTGAAAATTTTACATTACCAGAAAGTTATTCCATTGTTGGATGGCTTAGTCATTACAAAATTCTTATTTCTACTGTGTTGAAACTGATATCTTAAAAAATCAGCCCATGCATTTTAGTTTTCTCACTGAAACAACCCAGAATAAATAGTCTCATGTGAGTTTCTTCTTACAAATCTTGGGTGGTTCATGAATGACTGTGAAAATGACTCCCAAAGAGGAGACAGGAAAAGGTTTGCTCTGTGGCAGTATCATTGGGGAAAATGGTCTCTCGAGGACACTACCTTATCACAGTGGCCATTTAGATACTTTAGTATATATGTTAAAATCACTCTGATTATGATAATAATCACAAGTCACTGGTGATATTAGTTCACTGGATCCCCCTTTAAATATTCTCCACAAACTTGAAGTCCACTGAATGTAATTCTGCTGAATGACCAAATACCACCAGGCTAGACTTAAGTATGATGAATAATTTAGACTTCCTTGCAACCTTGTCTATATTGAGAGAAAAAAAATCAAACCATTTTCCTAGCACCACCAGCATTTTCTATTTTGGGATTTTCGAATGAGCACATTGTGTTTTGAGCAGAATTGCTTTTAGAGACAATGATGCTATAAGCCCTTTTAAAATTAGCATCTTTTGTTAAAATTTTTTTTCTATTGTGGAGAGGATTATTTTCATGGTTCCTGACTGGCAATCAGATACACACTACTTGCCAGTATCACGGCAAA